ATGAAATAAATGATGATATCGTTTGTGTCAAAAACTCATCCCTTCAGGATCAATCGTTTTCTTTCTAAGGTCAGGAGGATAGATGATATATCTGAAATCACCATGTACCAAATTTGAAGGTCCAAATTGATGAGTCAAGACAGAATAGAGTAAATCGAGGATCATCTTCAAGAATACATGATCGGTGACCAAGACGACCAGTACACTTGGAACCGTAACGATTTGAAGACTGAAGAGTAAGATATTGTGCTCAGGTTCACGACCGACCAACAAGTTGTACTCGATCAATTGAGGAAAGACTGAAGTGAACAAAATGCCGAGTTGTAATTTGGTAGGTTGTCCCAAAGCCAAGAGTAAGATATAAAGACTTTTTGATTGATCTCGATTCTATTTTTCTTTTTCTCTTAAATGAAATATACTCACTCATCTCGCTATATCTTCTTTCGTCCATCTTATTCTTTTTCTTCCATCAACTTCCACACTATTCAGGTGTGTTTCAAGCTTGTTGTTAACTAAGTCCAACAAAGCTTTATATTAACATCAGCGCTTTTAGGTTTTTGCCACTTTCTGCCCCTCACAGATTTAGGAGCATACGAAAGAGAGGTGGGGTTGGGGACAGCTGAGCCTAAGGAGGTCAGAGTCTTAGGTGTACAGCTTATTAAGGGCTTAGGGGTTTAATCCAGTTTCGCCGAGAAACTGGGTTGTGCCTTTAGTGTTATGATCCAGACTATGTGGGGATTTTTGTGCTCTCAATCAATACACCAAGCCTGACAGATATCCTCTGCCAAGGATAGATCAATCCTTGACTAACCTATTCAATGCAAAACATATCACTCTGATGGATATAATGAAAGGGTTCCATCAGAACATCGTAGAAATATGTAGCAGGAAATATCTCAGAATCATTTGCCATTTAGGAATCTTTGAATACATCAGGATGCCTTTTGGAATAAAAAATGCTCCAGCTTTCTTTCAAAGAATGATGGATACAGAGTTTTCAAAAGAATTAAGGGAAGGATGGCTCAAAGTCTATATTGATGACATCATAATTTTCCATACTACATGGGAAGAGCACTTAGAAGCAATGGAGAAAGTATTGCTAAGGGCCAAAGCCATGGGTATGACTATATCCTTGAAGAAATGCCATTTTGGTTTTGAAGAATGTAAAGCCCTAGGTCATCGTGTATCAGGACTATGGGTAGCAGTAGACCAGAACTCTGTAGCAGCAGTCCTACAGAAACCTTGTCCAAAAGATAAACAAGACCTAAGTTCATTTTTAGGATTTACAAGCTACTACAGAGCTCACATCCCAAACTTTGGAATCATCCGCGTAGCCTATACAAACTTTATGCTAAAGGCGTAGTTTTTGAAATGACAAAAGAAAGAATTGATGCAGTGAATAAAATAAAACATATACTTACAACAGCACCAATCTTGTTTCACCCTGACTTTGGAAAACCTTTTAAACTTTACGTTGACGCATCAATTGAAGGTTTAGGTGCAGCACTCCATCAAACACAAATAATTGATGGGAAACCAAAAGAAGGACCAATTGTTTTTATATCCAGAAAATTGACAGACATTGAGAGCAGATATTCTTCACCACAACTAGAAGCTTTAGCACTAGTTTGGGCCTTAGAAAAATCACACTACTACCTTGATGGTAGTTCCTTTGAAGTAATAACAGATTGTACTGGAGTAAGATCTCTGACGAATCCCAAATCTCCAAGTAGACATATGTTGAGATGGATGATGGCAATACAAGAGTATAAACCATTTATGACAATTACACATAGACCAGGAAAATTCCATAACAATGCGGATGGACTTAGTAGAATGGCATTGCCAAATGATTCCAGTAACCCAGCATGGGAACCAGAGGAGATGGAAAGAGACATCCCTGTAATGGGAATTAGTTTATGTGAATTATCTGAAGAATTCTTTGATGAAGTGAAAGCTAGTTATGAAAAGAATAGTAACACAGCTAAACTTACCAGGATATTGTCTGCACGTAATACTGATTTAAGCCTGACAAGCACACTTGAGCAACCTTGGAAAGATGGATTAGCTCAAGGAAAAATTTCACTTGAATCTGACCTGCTATACTTTAGAGAAAAGCATACTGCGGTTTTAGTAATAATAACTACAGAG